GCTGCACCTCACAAGTTTTAAGTATTTTCATTTCAAAATGTTTCCTATACATTATTTAGAAGTGCTATTTAATTTTTAATTGTATCACATAATATACTTTATATAACTTAAATTCCTTTAAACTTTTGTTTTACAGCCATCCAGGTAATTGTTCTATACATACTTGAAAAGCATGTGTATCCTGTTGATTTTGAGTGGAACATTCTACAGATACCAGTTAGTTCAAGTTCATTGATTATTGTTCAGATCTTGCATATTCTTCCTGATTTTCTATTGATTTTATCCATTACCGAGAGGAGTGCTGAAGCCTCGAACTCTATTTGTGAAGTCTCTATTTCTGCTTTCTGTTCAGTCAGTTTGAAGCTCTGTCGTTAGGTGCATACACAGTAAGGACAGTTTTATCTTTGCTGACAAGTCTATTTTGTCTGAAGTTAAAATAGCCACCACAGTGCTCTTCCGATGTGAATTTGCATGGTGTATCTTTTACGGTCCTTTTTCTTTTAACCAACCTATGCCATTGCATTGGCGGTTTCTCGTAGAGAGTACATACTTAAGATGTTGAAGGTTTAAAACACATACAGGAGCTGGCGCTGTGGCGTAGCAGGTAAAGCCACCGCCTACAGTGCCGGCATCCCATATGATCGCCGGTTCAAGTCCTGGCTGCTCCATTTCCGATCCAGCTCTCTGCTACAGCCTGGGAAAGCAGCAGAAGATGGTCCAAGCCCTTGGGCCCCTGCACCCATGTGGGGGACCTGGAAGAAGCTCCTGGCTCCTGGCTTCGGATCAGCACAGCTCTGGCCATTATAGCCAACTGGGGAATGTACCAGTGGATGGAAGACCTCTCTCTCTCTCTCTCTCTCTCTCTCTGCCTCTCCTTCTCTCTCTGTGTAACTCTTTCAAATAAATAAATAAGTCTTAAAAAATCCACACACACATACACATTCTGACAATCTGTCTTTTAATCGATGTGTTAAGATCTTTACTTTTGGGTCCAGCATTGTGCAGCAGTGGGATAAGTGGTTGCTTGCAACACTGCCACCCATATCAGAGTGCTGGTTTGAGTCCCTGTTCTTCTGTTTCCTGTTCAGGGCCCTGTTAATGTACCTGAGAAAGCAGAAGATAATCCAAGTACCTGGGTCCCTGCTACCCACATGGGAGACCCAGATGGAGCTCCAGGCTTCTGGATTCGGCATGGTCCAGTCCTGGACATTGGGATTATTTGGGAAGTGACACAGCAGATAGAAGCTCTCTTTCTGTCTCTCCCTCTGTCACTCTGCCTTTCAAAAAAAAAAAAAAGAAAAAAATCCTTACTTCTAATTTAATTACTAATATATTTAAAGACTACCATTTTACTGCTTTATTCTCCCCAGTTTGCTTAGGTTGTTGTTTTTTAATCTTCAGTTTCTCCTTGCCTTCTCTTGGGTGATTTGAATTTTTTAAGTTTATCTTCAATTATCTATTATGATTTTGACTACATCTCCTTGTGCAGTTCCTTTAGTGATTGCTCTGGGAATTCTAAGTACACATCCTTAACCTACCACAGTCTACTTAGCATCAATATTTTATGACTTCAATTGGAATGTGGAGACACCAAAAACATATGTAACATAAAAAAAAAAAACAAAATCTGTTGTGTTATTATATCTACATACAGACAATGTTCTAAAGTTTTAAAATTTCAATTGTCAGACGTGTTAAAGAATTAACGAGGTGATGTGCATTTGGCACACAGGTAAGACACCACTAGGCAGGATCGCATCTCATGCTGGAGTGCGTGGGTTCAAGTCCCAGCTCCACTTTCAATTCTAGCTTCTTACTAGCATGCACCTTGGGAGGCAATAGATGATGACCCAGGCCACCCGTGTACAGATATGAGTTGAGTTTCAGGCTCTTGGTTTCATCCTGGTCCAGTCTCAGCTATTGCACGTAATCTGGGGAGTGAACTAGCCAATCTCTTGAATTTACAGTTAGTCACCATTTTTGCTGTTCTTCCTTCAGCCTTGACGTTCCAAGCTACACTCTGGTGTAAACATCTTCAGCAGTTCTTCCAGACCAGGTATCCTGGCTATCAGTGCTTTGCTTTATGTCAGAATGGCATTACTTCAGTGTCATGCCTGACAGCATCCTTGAAAACAGAAATCTGGGTTGACATTCTTGTTCTTTGCACAGTTTTACAAGCTATGCTGCTTCCTTCTGGACTCCCTGGTTTCCGGGAGAAATCTACAGTCATTTGAAGCCCTGCTCCCCTGAAGGTAACTACCCGTCATTGTTTTCCTGGCTGCAGCAGACGGATTATGTGTCCAGGCATGGATTTCTTCGTGTCTGTCTTGTCTGGGGTTTGCTTAGCTTCTAGGTCGATGCCTCTCTCCAAACGTGGCAGGCGTTCAGCACTAATCCTTCAAACCCATTCCCAGCTCTGCACTTTCTCTTCTCATTCTGGAACTCTAACGACAAGAACACTGCACCTTTTGTTAGTGTTCCACAGGCCCGTGGGGCTCTGTTCATTTTTGCTATCTTTGTTCCATATGCTCCAGTTAGATAATTTCAGGTATTTTAATTTTCATTGCTGAAATTTCCATTTGTTACTTCTTTGTATCTTTTCTGTTTTTGTGATACTTTTAACATTTGTCTCAAGAATGTTCCCAATTGCTTGTTCTAGTGTATGCACAAGGTTCCTGTCAGATTTTTACATCTCTGTCATCTTGTCTTTGGCATATGACAAGACTTCATAAAGTTTGTGGACATTGGCATTAAAACTTAAGTTTCCTTTGGTGTTAGGAAGTTTTTAAATCCATGCATTAAAGAGCTCCTTCACAAGATGATGAAAATTGTTATTACAAAAAGACTGTTGCATGGATTTTGAGGTTTTTTGCACCCAAATACTTATTTTTCATTTTTCCATGAACTTTCTGATGTACCCGCGAGCACTGGCTCTCTTTCATCTGGCAAGTTGACACTTCCATAGTTTTTCATTTACTGAACAATTTCGGAATATATTCTGGACATCTGGAATGATACTATGAAGTCTTTAGTCTTGTCCAGTTCCTGCGGTGCATGTTGGTATTTCCGCTTTGGCAGGTAAGGGACCTGGTTGGGTTCAGGCTGCAAATTGCAACCTGCCTTCCAGGGGCTTTGGTTTCACGTCGGTCAAGCAGTACGAAAGTGATCTTTCCCGGAGCGTGTCCCTCACGGGCCAGTCTGCAACATAGGAGGGCTCTACCCACGAACTCAGTTCTCACAGCTACTGTTTCCCTGCTACTTCAGATCAAATCCACGCATGCACGGGTTGAGGGTGCTCCCTGGAGCTTCACTTCATGGAGTTGCTTCCCCAGGCTCTTCTGTGCTCTCTCTGGTACGTCCTGGTTCCCAAGGGATTCCTCATTCTGGCCCATGACTATGCCAGGCAGGCAGGGCAGTGGCAGGAAGGTGGAGAAAGACAGCAGCAGGTTTGGGTTCCGTGCCTGCTGGGGCCCTGGCTCCCCTCACCAGAGAGGAAGCCTCTCCCTGCTTCAGTGTCTCCTCCTTCAACCTGCAGCTGCCTGGTGCAGGCGAGGGGCAGACAAGGAAGACGAGGGGGCGGGGCGGGCCCCTCCTGAGCTCTGGGCGCTCTTCCCTGCTCTGCAAGCTGGGCCTGGGGGGGGGGGGTCCCTTGTGGAGCCCCCTTCACTGCTCTGAAGCCTGCAGGAGGCTGGGGCCGGGATCCGCCTGCCTTCCCACCGCCCCCGCGGCTCTCAGCCTCACTGCTGCTGCCACCTCCCTGAGTACTCGGACAGCTGTGTCATCATCTGTCCCAGAGGTGCAGTCACTTCAACATCAAGAGATGCTTAGATGACTGCACACCCCATCTTACCCAGAACCCGGATTATTTTTTATTAGATACCAGAGATTATTTTTATAAAGCTTATTTTACTAACTTGAAAGGCAGAATGACACAGGGAGAGTCAGTGCGAGAAAGAGATCTTTCATCCACTGGTTCATCCCGGCCCAAGGCAGGAAGGAGCCCAGATTCCAGTCTGGTCTCCCACATGGTGGCAGAGACCCCAGTACTTGGTCCCAGGAGCACCAGCAGGGAGCTGGACTGGAAGCTAAGCAGCTGGGAGACTCGAGCCAGGGCTGATACAGGATGCTGGCATTGTCACAAGCAGCAGTCCAACCCGCTGCAACACGGCACCGACCCTGGTACGTCAGATGTTATACCCACAGAATTCTCTGCACGTGTACTACCAGCCCCAAAGTGAGGCCAGCTTCCACAGAAGGGCTTTAGTTCCCCCGAGCGCTCAGCGCTGAGCCTGCCCTGGTGCAGGGCTGTGAGCCTCCCGGACAGGCTTCAGCAGGCCCACTGCAGGCCCAGGCCAGCCCCTTCTCTGTGGTCAGCGACTTGCTGGAGGCACACCTGGACTCTCGGGCAGCCCTACAGGCATGGGAGAGTCCCAGCAGAAACAGGGCCAAACTCAGCTCCTATCCCCCCTTCTGCATCCTGCCTGGGACCCGGCCTGATAATCCTCTGCCATCCACCGGGCCTCTGAGTGGATGATTTTCATAACTCATCCAAAGTTTTCGGTCCTCCGCAGTGGACATTAACTCAAACTATTAGTCCTGGCACTCACTTTTCCTATTTATGGATAACAAAACCGTGAAAGGTTTCCTGGTTTGTGCAGGCGAAGACCCTTAATGCAGTGATCCTGTCGCATGGACCACTGAAGCCAGAGGCCTGGCACTACAGGGGCTTCTTCCCGACTGCACATAGCCAGGCCTGGGGCTCGGCGGTACAGTGATCCTTCCCAGCCGGACAGGAAGCCAGACACCTGCTGCCTGAGCCTCCCCCACACACAGGTCACAGGGTGGCTCCTGCCGGTGCTTCCATGACTCAGCTGATGCAGGGGAAACAGGCAGAGGGACACGGCCTCGTAGAAGTTCTGAGCTTCCGGGAACAGGTGCAGGCACTCCGCCCAGAGGAAGCCACCTGTTCCCGGGAGGGTCCGGGCTTCTGCCACTCCTACCTTGGCTGGCTTCAGGCGGCAGGGAGCTCGGAGGCAGCGGAGGCGATGACTCGAGGGCATCGGCCGGGGGGTGCTCAGCCACGGGACAGATGATAAACCACCGCTTCCCTGTGTGCAGGACTGTGAAGGAGAGAGCGTGCTGCGGGGGGGCTCTCTGGCAGGGTGGGCGGCTCCTGCCACTGCACTGAGCCTGCCACACCCAGGGTCTCTGGGGACTTGTTCCCAACCGTGAGGTTGTCTCTAAAAAGGGCATAGGCAGGGAACCCACACATAACCCTACAGAGCTTCCCTCCATGACACAGGTGGTCCAGGCACCTTGGCACCCAGGCCCTGGGGAAAGCTTCCATCTGTTCCTCTCCTTCCCACAGGGGTGGTGGAGCCAGGGGGAGCCCAGCCAGCGGCAGCCCGAGCCTCTCGCGGTACCCTGGCTTGGATTTAGTTCCTGGGCTGCCGCCAGCACCAGCCAGGACAGTGGTGATGTAGATCAGCAGGTGACAGCTCCTTGGGCCAGGTGGCTGCCCCATAGGACCCTGCTCACCACCCGCCCCACAACCTCCAAGCCAGCCAGTTTACACTGGGGGTTGTTGTCGAATGCCTACTGCTAAGAGGGTCTATAAAAGCTAACACGGCGGGACTGGGAACAGGGACTCACCATTCTGCTGATACACGGGGGCGTTCGCCTGGGACTGCCCACTTTCCTGTAAGAGGGTGCAGTCAGCGGTCAGCACAGCTGTCTCAGGAAGTGCCCGTCCCCTCACCTCCCCAGGCTCCAAGGCCTCACCTCGCCTGCACCCAGGACACAGGTGCCCAGGTGTGGTGGGCTGGTGCCGGGGTCAGAGCCACGGTCGGCGTCCGTGTCCTCGCTGAGCAAGTCCTCCGCCTTGTCCATCACTTCCTTCATCTGCTCAATGAACGTGTCGCGCTCGGCGGGCAGAATGAAGCCGTGCTCCACCTACAGCAGGTGCAGCTGGTGAGGACCCACAGGACGGCAGCGCGGGTCCTGGCGGCTCCCTGCTCCCCTGGCCCAGGCCCTGCTGGGCGGCAGGGTGAGCAACTGCATCCCTGCACAGGGGCTGTGCTGCTCCTGGGGCGGACCTGGAGCAAGAGGGGCCGCCGCCGGAGAAGCCGGGCCCTGAACGCAGGGGCCCCAGGGCTGGCGGGCACTGCAGCACTTGAGAGGGAGCCCAGCGCCAGTCCAGCCACCTGTGGGGCAGCCAGGTGCCCAGGATGCACCTGTGGGCACGGGCACCAGGTAAGGCCTGCGCCAAAGGCTGGATTTGAAGGTGAAGGCTGCAGGCCCTGGGGATCCAGGACAGAGCCTCCTGACAGTATAAGCAATGCCACACAGCAGGCAGATCCACAGCCCGCGATTCAGGCTGAGCCGCAGCCTCCCGCCTTCAGCAGCAGTCCAGTGAGGCCCATGTGCAGCAAGTGGGCTCTGCTATGGCTCCTGACGCCCCTGCTCCCCTAGAAGAGCCCATGGTGTGTGCCCCGCTCAACACCCCTGCCTTTGGGGGAGACACCCAAACGCCCACGTCGGTTACAAGCTCTGTCCCTGAGCCCACACCTGGTTTTCACCAGAACTTCTTGGGATTGGCCTCCCCGTGGGAGCCCCAAGGCTCTTCTCCAAGAAAGGGCCCCAGGTTGTGCCAGGCAGGCCGAAGGCTCAGCCATGGAGGCGCCACTCGGGAAGAAAACTGGTCCCGGTGTGCTGAGTGTGCGCATTGTGACTGAGACACTGACGGGACAGGACACGGCTGCAGGCAAGGTGCACTGTTGGGATGAGGACCTGCCATCCAAGAAGGCAATGCAACGTCCCCATTTTGTGACAAGCCACCAAACAAAACCGAGCCAGAACCCCATGGTGACTGCAAAAATCTGTTAAAAATAAAACCATGGACTTCTTGTTAAGTACACAGAGAAAACCTCAATACACAGGTCCAGGTCTAACCAGCAATTGATGCCAACTAAATCAACCCTCCAAGTGCCGCTTTTAGCAGGCAGCAGGAAAGGGGGTCTCATACACGGCCCTGCCAAACCTCTCCTGCTGCTGAGACATTCCGCGGCCTTCGCAGGACGGGAGGGGGCTTCTGGACAGCACCTGCCCCACCAGGCAAACATCTTCCTTCCACTCAAGCTCCCAGAGACCTATTGCCCCTGAGAGAGGAACAGGGGGAGCGGGCAGTCCCAGGAACCTCATGGGGACAGCCACATTTAAGGGCCAAATGTTACTCCTGATACCACGCTTACTGTGTAGAGGAATTTCAGATGACTTGGTTTAGAAGTGCCCAGTTTGGGGCTGGTGCTGTGGAATAGCAGGTTGGGCCACTGCCTGTGGTGTTAGCATCCCATATGGGCACCGGTTCAAGTCCCAGCTGCTCCACTTCCAATCCAGCTCCCTGCTAACATGCCTGGGAAAGCAGTAGAAGATGGCACAAGTCCTTGGGCCCCTGCACCCATGTGGGAGACCTGGAAGAAGCTCCTGGCTTCTGATCAACTCAGGTCTGGCCATTGCAGCGAGAGGAGAGGCCAGGCACTTTGGTTCCAGCAGCTGGGTGCTTGTTCACAGGCGAGCGAGCAGCCAGCTGCTCACTCTGACCAAGACCCTGCTAGGGTTGGAACGTCTCTCCCAAAAGTTGCTGTGTTGGAAACCTAACCCCCGAATCCCTAGGTGGATGGGCTTTAAAGGCGGAGCCTCTGGGAGATGACTAGGGTTAGAGGAGGTCATGGGTACGAGGCCCCATGCCGGCATCAGCGGCTCTGGAGAAGAGGAAGGGAGAGCCGAGCTGGCACCTGCTCTGTCACCCCGGGGTGCCCTCACCAGGTCTAGAAGCGGTGCTGGTGCCTTGCTCCTAGACTTCCTGGCCCCCAGAACAATGAGCTACATCCTTGTACACTTCGATTCTTTATAAGTTACCCAGTCTCGGGGCCTTTGTTGTTGCAAGAGAACAAGGAGTAGACACTGACCGAACAAGCACAGGCGCCTCTGCCTCTCTCCTGCACCAGGCTTATCCCGGGTCCTGAGCTGCCTCGGGCCTAACCCCGTGGCCGCAGGAATCCTGCGGAGTCAGCCTAGCCTTCCACGTCTAGCAGAATTCTCCTCCCTCCACCTACCTGGGACGGCTCCCCTTAGCTGCCCAGCAACCCCCTTCAGAGTCTGCTCTCTGCCCTATCTCCAAGTCCCGAATCACGGCTTGCTGGTGTTACTTAGCAGGTACCAGAGCCACTTCTTTATCGCTGTGGGGACCACGCTCCAGGCCTAGGCTCCAGGAGGGCTCCAGCCAGGCTGTCTCTGGGGCAGACATCATAGTGTCTCCTCGAAGCCCACATGAGGATTTAATGAAGCCAGGGCAGAAGAGGCCAGGGACGGGGCTCAAGGGGCAGCTTTCTGCTGGCCTCCGGAGTGGGCGGGGTGTTCCGCACAGCAGCCATTAGCTATGCGGGGAGATTTACATCACTGGCTGAAATTCACCCTCCCAGTCTGAGATCCACTCTGGGGCGAGGGGGCCCAGCAACACTGGGCGCCATGGCTTCCCTACAGTCATCTGGGAAGAAGGCCATCTCGCCAGGGAGCCTGGTGTGCATCTCTCTGTTTGCTGGGTGGCTGCTGGGGACACAGCAGGATGCCCCAGGGCAAGTGTGGGGCTGCGAGACTCTTGTGAGCCATGAGGGCTCAAGGCACACTTGGGAGGGGTGGCTCTAAACAGAGGCACGGGGAGAGTTGAGGACCTGGCGTAGGAGGTGCAGGGCTCACGGCACAGCGGAAGTCACTGCCCCACTGGTAAGGCCAGTGGTCGGCTCTCAGCAGGGCCAAGGGACATGAAGCACTTGGGGACATCTTGCCCTCTGCTGACATGCCATTCTGAGGTGCAGGGGGAGTTGTTCCAGAGCCGCTCAGAGCCACGGACCTGGGACAGCTGTGGATGTGCCCCAGGGGCTGCCCTCTTACCCCGAAGGCTCCAAGAGCAGAGCAGGTGCAGACAGAGCCCACAGTGTGCACGTCAGCACTCCCTGAACCAGACCCACAGCTCTGGGGACAGCCCCAGGGGCCAGACCAGAACCACAGGCAGCCCAACCCCCCACACAGGGCCACCCTGGGGTGCCTGGGCCCCACCTCACCATGTAAGTGGCGATCTCGTCGGGCGCATCTCCGTCCAGGTCGAACTTGAAAGTCACCATCTTGCGGTTGTGTGTTTCCAGCTGGCATTCCACCATTTTGTCCCCCGTGTTGCACACCTGCAGGGACGCACAGTCAGTGGCTGCCAGGCCGCAGGGGTGCTGCACCTGCACCCCCACCCGCCACTCACGTTCAGGATGGTCAGTCGGGGCCGGCTGGCCCTCTCCTGCCGGGAGCGGGCACGTGTGGACCTGCGGTGGTGCCTCCGGGACGCGCGGGCCTCCAGCCTGCCCCCGCCAAAGGCGCCTTCACAGCCGTCACTCAGCTCTTTCCCGGAAGGGACGTCTGAGCCTCCGCAGCTAAGCAAGAACCAGGGACGTTAGGGGCACCCACGGACAAGCAAGCAGCCCACCGTGGTCTGGAGCTCAGCGTCTACAGAGACAGCCTGGCTGGGTCTGAAGCTGTGACCTGCGGGGGTGGCCCAGGGCCCCTCCTCTCACCGCAGTGCTCATCCAGGGTAACCTAGGGCTTTCTGGTTATTGGCTATGTGACCTCAGTCCTGCCTGACCGGAGAATCAGCGCCCCCGCCCCCCCGCCAAAGCCTCAGTTGTGTAACAGGAACCTCCAAGCCGCTGTGAGGATGGCCCAAGGGCCTAGAACCCAGAGAGTAGGACAAAGGGCCACTTCCTGGGACGCTGCTCCCTCCACAGAACACAGCACCTGCCAGCAGCTGGGAGACACAGGGTCAGGACCAGATTCTGCCCTGTTCCCCAGGGCCCTTCCCTGACCCCTCCCATCCTCTGGACAAGACTGTCTACCCACGGCCTCGCCATCCTGGAGCGCCCCTGGGAACAGGACACAGAGCACGGATCCAGATCATGCCCAGAGCAGGTGGCAACCTGGGCTGACAGAGACTGGAGAGCAGGGCCAGAGGCGCCACCAGGTCAGGGTTGGAGGAGGGGTGATATCGGTGTAAAACCTTGCCAGCAGCATGGGAAATGGGGGCAGGGGCCACGCTAGCTGGCATCCGGGTCTGTGTCCCGCCCCCATCCCCAAGGCTGCCAGCGGGTCAGTACCTCTCACAGCTCGGCGGGAGGCCAGGCGGCTTGTCCTGCAAGGCCTGCTCCTGGAATGAAAACCGCAGAACAGAGACAGGGTCACGCTGCTCCTGCCTCCCAGCATCCCTGCCCTGGCCCTCGGCCCACCGCCCGCTCGCCCCTGCCTGCCCCCGGCGGGGGAGGGGCCGCAGAGGCCAGGCAGGAGGTTTTTCATCTTGTGGAAAGGCTTGGAGCCACGTGGGCTGCCCCCCTTCCAAAACTGCTAACGACAGCCTCTGTGAGAGCGGTTTGCAGGCTTTGCATCCTCTCCGCGGGAAAGTTCCCTCCAGACCCATTTAGAAAATTCACGCTCCCCACCCTGATGTGGGTTTGCACAGAGCATAAAATTTGGAAGAGACAAGAACAGGACTACGTGGCTTTCCGGGAGCACACCCCACCTCCTGCAAGCGTTCCTGACCTCTGAAGTTGAGTCCCAAGGTCACAGAACGGGCCCCGAGAGCCATGGTGCCTGGCCAGGGGATGAGTGGAGCAGAGGGGCACACACCTCTTGAGCCGGCTCCACCGTCAGCTGGACGGCCGGGCAGGGGCTAGCAATCACAGGCCCGCTGGGTAGCGATGCGTTTGCTGGCGGCAGCAGCGTGGCGGTCTGGGTGGGCACGCTCTGAGAGACCGCCACCACCATGGGGGCCAGGGAGCTGGGGAACTGAGGCAGGAGCTCGGGGCCAGCAGGCGGTCGCACATCTGGCAGCGGCGGAGACAGGACTGCAGCAGGCGTCACGGGCACGGCGGGGACTGGGGTGGCAACGTCTATGGGGTATGGAGGCGGGTGGCCCAGCAGGACCTGGGGGCACAGGGCACGGGATGAAGGGTTGCACTCGGGGGCTGCACCCAGGCGCATGGGTGAGCTCCCGGGGGGAGGGGAGGGACGCCCCTCTCCAGTCTACATGCTGGCTGCAGGCAAGCCTTGGTTTCAGAGCATGGTCAGCACACAGATTCCGCAGAAGCAGGCAGGAATGGGCAGCACAGAACCTTTTTTGTGTAAGAATCTGTCTCTGCAGGAATCCCTCAACCCACACTTCACTTAACCAACTTCCAGCTAAGCCCAGGTGAACCCTGACACTGCACTGCACACAGAGGTGTCTGACCCCGGAGACTTCTGCTCTAGCCAGGTCAGCTTAGGGCGCACACTGACCCTTCCAGGTCCCCAGCGCAGCCTTCAGGCGCTCACTGGCACCTGCTGCCTCCAGCAGAGGGACCCTAGGGGACAAGAGGTAAGACAGGCAGAGGGGAGCCCGTGGGCCAGAAAATAATGGAACAATCTGTCCTCTGCCCAGCTGAGAAGGTCGGAAATTTAGGGCGACTTCTGTGTCTCGTGAACTTGGAAATGGCCATCCACGTGGGCCAGCTCTGCCGGATCCCAGGCAGGGTCAGAAAGGTCACATAGCCACCCAGCGGGGGACATTCCTGTCCTGGTCAGACGTCCCAGCTGCGGCGGTCAGGGAGTCCGCAGGGTGGCCAGCCAGGCTCAACAATAAATTTAAAGTCCTTGTCCAATGTACAGCCACCAAGCCCATAGCAATGCCCAAAGTGGCAGTGCCTTCCCTGGGACACTGTGAGTCCACAGGCCAGCGCCACATGGCCGGGCCTCGACACGCCACAGGATGGCCATGTGTGTTGCCCTTGGCTTTGCTCTGAAACAGCCCTGATGGGGAACCAGCAGGATTTGGGTTGGGGCAAACAAACTCCACCCTGCTGGCCATGAAATACCATCCCCTTCCTCCTCCAAGTGCACAGTCCTCTGGAAATCAGACAGCGAGGAGTGCACAGAGGGTTCTACGTGTACTCTGACACGGGGTCTCAGCACAGGAGGAGCTGGGGGCACCTGGGGTGCTCCCTCAACCCTGGGCTCTTGCTCACATCTGGGTTAATCTTCCCAATACAAGCGGAGGGGGCTGAGAGAACCTGAGGCTCAGCAGCCAGAGGCTGTGCAGGCCACAGAACTGCTGGGAGGCACAGACTGGGAGGACTCCAGAAAGGGGATCCAGCTGCAGGGGCCCCCATGCCAGCTCCAAGTGCACATAGAGAGAGCCAGAGTGTGCTGGGCAGGGCCTCACGGGAGGCCTGCGTCCACCGTGGCAGGACACACATCCCTGGTGCCAGCACAACCCTTCACAGGCAGCCAGGCGAGCGGTCCCACGTCTCCATCTAACACGAGGACAGTCCCCCAACCACACCAAGACCATCTTCTAGTCCTCGTCCTTGGGGCCCCAGGCCACTCCGCTCTCCTTCATTTCCTTGCTACTAAGACAGGTGTGGCCCCCAACAAGGTGCTCCATGAGGGGCTGACCCAAGATGCACCCTCAGCCCTGGTGCCCCCAGGGACCCTGGTACAGGTGAGGGCAGGTGCCACGACACCAGGCATGGCTCAGAGCCGTCAGGTATGCACACAGAGCAGCTGCTGACCCTGGTGTGGCAGGATACAAGAACCATCACACACCCCAATGCCCGTGACCCTCAGCCACAAGGGATGTACAGGGCACAGCTGCCTCCTCACCTGGCACCGCCTGCCCCTTAGTCCAGGTGCCAAGAGGCAGCCACGACGCAGGGAGGGAAACATTAAGGCTGCCTTGTACTGAGGGGTTCTGAAGGTCTCCTTGGCCCTGTGAATGGGTTACCTGGCTCCCAGGTGCAGCGGCTGGAGCCTGATCAGGCAAGTGGACCATGCCGGGCTGGAGTGGCTGAGGAGGCACGGATGGCACCGGCTGTGGAGGGGCGGCCCGCACGCCTGGCACCGCGTGGTGTGGAGATGGCGGGATGTCCGTGGGCGCCATCTGTGGGAAGGCCGCCGCCGGGTACACTGGGGGAGCTGGGAGCTGGGCTGGGAGCTGGGCCACCGCAGGGTGGAGAGACAGGGCAGCCACACCCTGCGGGGCCATGGCCAGCAGCGGGATGGCAGCTGGCGCGTTTGGCACGATGGTGCGGCAGGGCACGGCCAGAGGTGCCCCAGGGGGGTGGGGCAGCTTGACCGCCTGCAGAGGCAGAGCCGGGGATGCGGGCATCGGGGTGGTGAGGCTGGGCAAGATCACCGCGGGAGAGAAATACTGCGCTGGGGGCACAGGCGCCACATTTGCTGCCGGCAGGTCGGCGAGGGCCGGTGGGAGGCTGTCGATCCCCGCCAGGGGCGTGATGGGAGGCACGACGGGCATCGGAGGCATCTGGAAGAGTCACCGCAGCTGTCAGCTGGGACCCCACAGGGCGTCCACCACCGGCACGCGCACGCTGTAGCACAAAGGGGGCACTAACGTCTAGCCACTGCTGGACGGATCCAGATACAACCCCAATGTGAAATTCTCAAGCTGGAACAGTTAACGTGGCAGCCCGGAAAGGACCCGCTTGGCTCACGAGGTCTCCCGGTGTCCACACCCACAAGGGGTCAAGGTTAGACAGGAGGCGCCAGAGGGGATAACAGGCTTTGAAGCTTTGGAGCATTGCATTTAGAAGCGTTGGGACAGTCAGGCCCAACATCCCAAACCATCTCAGCCTGTTCCTGCACCGTGAACAAAAGCTAGTCGGAACCTAACGCTTTGGAGGTTCTCAGTGGAAGCAAAATCTTTGGGCCATGCCCACGCCGTACAGCCTCCCAGCAGCTGGAGCCGTGGACCCACCCCCACCGGCCCCAGGTACCTGCTGAGGGACTTGAGCGAGCGGCTGCAGGGCCGGCGGGGGCATCTGGAGGGGCTTTAGTTGAGCAGGAGCCACCACCTGGGAGGTCGGAGCCAGGTACGGAGGCAGGTGGGAAGCCACTGGCTGGAGAGGGCCCACCGTCTGTGGGGCCAGGACCTGCGGCAGGGGCGTCGGCTGGGCCAGCGGGGGAGGCTAGAGGAGAAAGGGGCCACAGACCACTGCCCTGCTGAGGCAGGAGGTACCCTACAGGGACAGACTCACCCTCGCAGGGCAGACCCACACACGTACACAGTACATCCGCTCCCCAGGCACACTCACACACACATACACTGATGTACACACGCTCAAGCTTATACAGTCACTCACACTCGCACGTATTCACTCACACACCTACACACTCACACATGGTACAACGCACACTTGATACACATACATGCACCCATACGTGCTTGCACAGTGACACACACAGACCACCAGACTCCACTGAGCCAGGGACGTGAAGTCCTTGCAGAAAACCTGAGCAGAGCCCTCCATGTGTGCAGCTCATTTATGAGCTGCGGACATATGAACACCACACACACATATACATGTGAACACCACACATGCACATGCACACATACCCTGTTGGAAGCTCACACACAGAGGCCTGTGAGTGTTCACAGACCCTGGCCCTGGGCCAGCAGAGCCGACCCCCTGCCATGAGGGCCTGGAAGGGGCACCACACTCACCTGCTGGCCAGGGGGCACCTGCTGGCTGGGGGCCGTGGGCACCGGGGCACTGGATGGCGGCAGCCCGGGCGTGAAGCTCATCGCTGGCTCCGGGAAATGCTGCAGGAGCTGAGGGTGCGCAGGGGCTGGGATGGGGCCCACTGACAGGCCGGGCTGTGGAAAGCCAGGCCACGCTCAGCAGCTTCCCTGGGACGTCCCCTCATCCCTGAGCCCAGCCCCCCCCCCCCCAGGACCCTGCTCCCAGAAATGGGATCAGTGGAAGTCTGGTGCACTAACCCACAACCGCCAGAATCCTGCTGCCCCAGCCCAAGGACAGTGTGACGCATCAGCCCAGGGAGCCTCAGCTCCTCCATGGCTCGGAGGAGGCCCTCACAGGGCTTTGCAGAAGCAGGGACACTTCCTGTCTGGCCGTGAGGAGGATGGACGTGTGCAGACAACACACAGACCATGGAGCATGGACGCCAGCACAAAGCCCGCCCCCTGAGGCGGCACAGACTCGGCTCCACGGGGAGAGACGGCCCCGCAGCCAGGACCCAAGTCCACACACAGCCAGCAGTCGTCACTCCTGGGTCCCCAGGGAGCTGTGCATCTGAGCTCCTTACAGGGCTACACAGGAGTCACTGCTAGCTTGTCGATGGTTCAGCACAATAACGGGGCTGATTTGGCCTCTGAGAGTCCTTGTTCCACAGAGACGGAGACCGGGCGTCTATGGGGAAAACGCCGTCAGAACACGGGGATGTGGCAGGCAGGGGGGCTACAAGGGACCACCCGAGGCTCCGAGGCTCGGCTCGCGCTTCATCTCCCCCTGCATGGAAACTTCCCTGCGGTTCTGTCTGCCGTCAGGATGCCAGGAGGGGGATCTGCAACTGCCTCGCTCCCTTCACCGTTCCCGCCAGGGCTCTAGGAAAGGCAGCGCCGGGGGAGGTACAAAGAGCAGGGGTTTGGGACTGAGCCTGGAATCGGGATCTATGGGGAGCCACAGAGCAGCAGTCAGCTCCCACTGAGCAGGGCCCTCCATTCCCGTGACACCAGCACGCATGGCAGCGTGGGCTGAGCCCTCAGCACCCCAGGGACTCCTCAGGTCCTGCCCTTTCTGTCGGAGGCGTCTGCGTCACCAGAGAGCGCGCCGAGGTACAGAGCACAGCCTCCGAGCCCACAGCCGCGGGCTCCCGCCCGCACCCCCTGCTTCGACACAGCGCTGAGCCGTGATGCTGGGCTCAGCCACGTTGCCACGGGCCCACAGGGCAGCCCCAGCCCAGGAGGACGCAGGGGGACGGCACATCGTGCAGCCACAGGAAGCCCTACCCTCGGCTGACAGGGTGAGAGCTGGGCAGGACACAGGGCTCAGCCCTAGCTCAGGTGTCCACACCGCCAAGAGCCATCGGTCTAGAGCAGCAAGGAGCCGCTTCTCAAACGGCTGCCCATGAGGCCCGAGACTGCGGGCAGCAACGGCAGACACGGCCGACAGTTTGGGCTGCTTTTCCAAAGGGACTTCCTGGGCCCTCTCGATGGCCCCTGCTCTGCTCAGACAGAAGGGACAGCTCATGGGCAGCGGCGTGGCGGGCAGCCGGCAGGACAGAGCATCGGCCAACAGGATGCCTCAGTGGTCAAAGTGAGAACTGTAGTTAGCGAAGCGGCAGGTGGGAGGGGTGAAGACAGAGCCCACCATGGGGCCGGGGGCGGTGTCTCCCTTCAAGGACTTCTCTGCCACTGGGCACAAGGGCCTGGGAAGTGAGCGATGGCTTTGTCTGCTTTAGTGTTAACAGAATGAAAATCAGGAGTGAGCGTTCAGCCCAGCGGTTCAGATGCCTGCATCTCCCCACCTCCCCCGCTCCAGGGTGCCCAGATTCCATGCTCAGCTCTGGCTCCCGCTTCCTCTTTTTTTTTTTTTTTTTTTTTTTTTGACAGGCAGAGTGGACAGTGAGAGAAAGGTCTTCCTTTTGTCGTGGGTTCACCCTCCAATGGCTGCTGCGCTGCAGCCGGCGCATCGCGCTGATCCAAAGGCAGGAGCCAGGTGCTTCTCCTGGTCTCCCATGGGGTGCAGGCCCAAGCACTTGGGCCATCCTCCACTGCACTCCCGGGCCACAGCAGAGAGCTGGCCTGGAAGAGGGGCAACCGGGACAGAATCCGGCGCCCCAACCGGGACTAGAACCCTGTGTGCCGGCGCCACAAGGCGGAGGATTAGCCTATTGAGCCACGGCGCCGGCTCCTCCCGCTTCCTCTTAATGCAGATCCCGGGAGGCAACAGTGATAGCTCAAGCAGTTGGATCCCTGCCACCCCCGTGTAGACCTGGACTGAGTTCCTGCCTCTCAGCTTTGGACCCCCAACCAGCACCTGCTGACATGGGCATTTGGGGAGTGAACCAGCAGATGGCAGTATCTCTGTTTGTCTGTCTCTGCGGCTCAAATTTAGATAGACAGACAGACTAGCTCCTCTCTTAAAAAAAAAAAAAAGTCAAACAATAAACACCAAGTGTGATTTTACCCCCACCCCCATCCCCCCACCATCCCGCCCCTGCAACCCTCCTCTCTCCAAGGTCTCACATCCCCAGTTTGGACATCTCGTGCTCAGTGTTCCCCACACTCCCACTGGGTTGTCATGGCAGTGACCCCCTGCCAGAGGTGACAGACCATCCCCCATGGGGCTAGACACCAAAACTAAATCTCGGGTTTTGTCATGACCACTGACGCACTTCTGTCACTTTGGGACAGCCTGACATCTCAGGCCAGGTCCAGCGGCCGGGCGGCTGCCTGTTGTCACCGCCAGCACCAGTACGTGCTCAGGGGAGGGACAAGGCCAGTCCTATCATGGGGACCCCTGGCGTCTGTTTCCCGACAGTGTCTTTCTCATTGGGGTCTTCAGGGCCATGTCAGAGGCTGCCGTTCCCCAGTTCCTGGCAAAGACGGGGTCTCCCCTAGGCCTGCTTCTGCAGGTCTCCCAGGGCAAGGTGGCCAGCAGCCAGCCAGGGGCCACCTTCAGCCTGGCCACAGCTGGTGCAGCCAGGGTGGCCCTCATCTGCGGGGACAGGTTGGGGTGGCTCTGGGACTCACCGTGGCGGCGGGCTGCTGGAAGGGTCCCAGTGAGGGCAGGCTGTGTGGGAGGCCGGGTCCCTCGCTCACCGGGGGGCTGCACACGCAGGGGGCCAGGGGCGCTGCGTCCACGAGGGAGCCGAGCACCACGCTCTGCTGGCTGCTCTGCGAGTCTGAGTACACCGTGGAGCCCTGGCCGCTGTCGAAGGTGCTGTCCGCTGGGGAGGACAAAGACATGGCTTAGTGTGGACACGCCCGGAGCCACCTCCACGGCACCGCACGGGGCAGACCTGGGCTGGTCTGCACAGCTCCATCTCCCAGACTGGATGGGTTCTGCAGATTTCATAACTGGCCAATGAATGCTGTCTGAACAGTCAACTATTCCGGAACAATACAGCAAGGTGAGGGTTGTACCTGCACCCACCCCAACATGGCCCAGCATCAGGGCAGCGTGGATGCCAGGCCAGGCACAGCCCACAACCCTCCTGGGGGCAGACGCCATCGCCCCATGCAGTGCACACATGGGAACCTGTCACAGCTTGGACAGTGGGCACTGTCCAGCCTTTAGCAGCAGAGGGACAAGCTAAGGAACAGCTGACGTCTTAATTGTGAGGGAAATGCTCCTCCTCCGTGACTGAGACGCCCACCACCCTCACGCTGGGGCAAAGGGCTGGACGGGGAGACAGGTCACAGACCAACTCTGACACAGTTGGAAAAGGAGGCCTGCACCCCCTCCCAGAGAGGCCTCAGGAGGGGTCGCACCCACCACGTGGGGGAACAGAGGGCAGAGTGTCCATGGCCCCAGGTGGGCTCCCAGAGACGACATGGGCCGGGCCACACAGCTCTGCCAACCGCGGGTGCAGTGGACAGACCTGCCTGTACTCAGGGCACAGATAGGACACACTGGGCATGCCTCGCTGCCACAGGCCAGGGGCGACTGCTCCCTGCATGGCCAGGCCGCTGAACTGTGAGAAGCAAAAGCCTGCCTGAAACAGCACTTTTAGTTACGGTTTCCAGATCCCAAGAGCCACAGAAGCATTAGGACTTGCCACCTCGGAATGCCCAGGGGCCACCTTTCAGAGCGACACATCCATACACCTGTCACTTAAGCACACTACAAGGGATAGCTTGTGGGCTTTGCAGGAAAGTAATTTTTCCAGGGACTGGAACTTATTTAGACTAGGAAGGAATGCAGAGATTAATTGTGCAAAACCAATTAGACACATGGCTCTGATTTCTAATGAGCCAGCTGGTCATTTATGTGGTCATTTCCACTTAGGGAGGGAGGAAGGGTATGTACAGCTCTGAGAGAGCCAGTGTAACCACATGTGTAACACTCCACATTTCCAGTGTGAGCGTGCTTATTATTTGGATAATTAAAAGTTAACTTTAGCAACCACTTTCGGGCCTGCTGACAAGTCACCCTGCTGCTGTCCTCGGCTGCTTAGACCAAGCTCAGTGAGAGGCACACGGAGGGAAGAATGAAACGTGTACTCTGCTTTATCTTCCCACGATGCATGTGCATGCTTGCTGGTCTTCTTGTAAATACATGGACCCACTGTGGCCCCATCAGCTCTCCGTGAATCACGGTCAACATCATGGGACCCTCTGGGACCAGGTGGGAGCATGAGGACAGAAGAGCTCAGAGCACGTGGGGTGCCCTCCACTGCGGACTAGAGGGGCATGGGGTATGCATTGTGCATGTGTGCAAACATGTATGTGTTTAAGCATGTGAGTGTTTGTGTATATTCAAGCACAATGTGTCTGAGTATGCATATGTGACTATGTGTACACTGCACATGGATGTGAGTATATGGGTGCACTATGTACATATATGTAAGAGTGTGTGTGAGCATGGTACATTCATGTGCTTATGTGTGAATGTAAATGAGTGTCCACAAGTATGGGTGTGTACATTTGTGTGGGTACACGGACCCTGTGTGTGGGTGGGCAGATAGGTATACTTGTGTGGGGTACACTGTGTGCTCATACACAACCAGGTATGCATGTAGCTGTATACACATATGTGATGTGTGTGCACATGCCCACGTATGTGGTATTATGTATGTGTGTGCATGGATCATCTACAGAAAGTCAATGGGGAGACCGATATCACCTGCTGCCCCCAGGGAGCACAACTAAGCACCCTTGCAGACTCTGGACTTCATTCCACATGGTGGTGACATCATCTGCTTTGTAAAATTACAACAAGTGAGTCAAATGTTTTGAGAAGTGTGGTTACAGCCTCTGCTTGCAGCACATGCCATCACCGTGAGGCAGCAGGGGACAGATCTATGTGCAGGGTGCTCCAAAGTCTAATGGGACTTGACCAAGCACTTACTGTCTGCCCTGGACCATCTCACACGGCCCAGCCTGAGCTGACACCTGAACTATTTCTAGACCCAACACCGTCTCTTCAAAGTGCAACAAACGGAGATGCTGAAATGCCCACCCCAGAAAGTGTCCAACCAACAATTACGACTGTCAGACTGGGAGAACTTTTTCCTACAAAAACCTTGTGCTTCTTAATTAATTTTTCAGGTTTATCACAAGACGGAGCAGTGACGCAGCAATCACTGAATTCGAACAGCTGCCGGGAGCTGCTTTGCTCCTTTAACGACAAACAAGGATGTGTATATTAAGCAAACCAAACACGTTCCAGTCTTTCCACACGGACAGCCTGACACACTGGCCGGACAGGTCACGCGATGATTCTGCTCCGGGCTGGTGCACAGAGCAGACACGGCCACGGCCCTCCACCCTCAGCTTGCTGTAGAGTGCTAGACACCAGCCCCGCTGCTGTTGGGCTGAGAGGAAGCACGCCTCACAGCGGCTCCCCCAGTCCACCGGAGATTCCCCCCGTGGAAAATGCACCAAATGTCTCAAAGTTTGGCCACCGGACAGCAGATGACACGGGATGGAGCATGCTAACAGCAAACACAGGCTAAGACGGCAGCATCTCACTGCCCTGCCACCCATACGAGGCCCAAAAGAACCTGACCCGGGTCCACAACAGGGACCTGGGGCTGGACTGGCTGCCCCTGACGCTGCTGGCTGCAGGCATGCTTGTCCCTGTGTGTCCTGAGAAGCTGGCCTTCGGTGAGCCCTAACGCCACCCCCCACCCCCCCGTAAGAGACCCCTGGGAAATGCTGACAGAGTCCCAACCCCTCTAGAGCAGTGCTCACGAGCCCCACCCTGGTCAATCCCACCCTTCCGCACATGCCTTCTTCCCAGGTCCTGGTACTAAGGACACTGGCAGGCCCCAGGCCCCAGAGCAACAACTCGACTACCTGAGGGCAGCATGGCGCTCCCATCTGCCTTCCGTACCAGGCTTCCAATAAAGGGGAAGGACTTTGTTTTTGCCCAACAGCTGGCTTTACTGGGAGGGGGAGGGCATGGCTATCACTGTGGCCCACACCAGTACTCACAGGCCAGGGAGGTGGCGCTGGCCGGCAGCGTGGGGGGCACGAGGTGCTGGTCGGCCTCTGACTCCTCGGGCCCTGGTGGCCCCGCCTGTGCATGATAGGTCACCTGGACCTGCAGGGGTGCCGCTGGCGCCTTGGCCTTGTCGGGGCTGCCTGCGTCCCGTGGCTCCTTGGGCTGCAACGCAGGCCAGATCCTTTCTCGCCGCCACTGGATCAATGCCACACGGTCCCGGATGGACTTGGCCACGATCTTCACATCGCTCTCGTGGAAGAAGCCAGACTCGATCTGCAAAGGTGGTCACACTGTCAGCATCATGGATACCAGGTCGCCTTGCTCCTCTAAGGCCCGCCATTGGCGGGCGGCCCTCACCACCTGTGCCGAGGGGTCCTTCCTGGGACCCCACAGCCCCCAAATGCAGCCCCCAATGCTTCCTAGGAGGCTCACATCACCCCAGGGTAACCATAGGCCCTCATCGACTGGAATCTGCAGAGCGCAGTGGCCGGGGCAGCAAACTGCCCTCAGCAGCTCAGCTGCCAGTCCCTGGGATTTCTTGAGGTCCCAGCCCACCCTTGTTCCTGTGCTCAGAAATGGGGACAGCAGCTACAATGCCACAGCTTTCACGGGAATCCTGAGCTGTCCCAGAGGCTGGGGGCTGCCCGGAATGGGGAGAGACACTCGAGTTCTAAGTGGCGCCGACAGCAGTGTGGGGTCCAGTGCCTGGCGAAACCCTAAAACTGATCAACCAGAGAAGAGTGTGCGAGAGCATTTGTACAGCAGCCCTGAGACTCCAGGCCGCATCCGGAGCCCGCTGAGACAATTCATAGCAAAATCACCTTCTCGCTTCTTGGAGAAAGAGGCCCCCTTTGAAGGGCTGCTCTGGCTGAGCTGCAAGTGCAAGGACGGAGATTGCTCATCCCCCAGACCTCCCTCCCTTCCGGAAAACCCGGCTCCTCAGACGCGAGGCTGGACAAGCCTCGAGAGAGGGGAGGTGCCGTGCAGGACGGCGCCCAGATGTGGGCCAGGTGGACACAGGAGGCACATCGGCGGGGTGAGGTAGAGGGGTTCCAGAGCTGGAGGCCGGTGACCGTGTGCGGCTGACCAAGCAAGAACGCGTCGGGAACAGGGACGCTGGCTCCTCCAACGTGGAAAGGAGCCTGGCGGTGCTGGGTGGGCATCAGAGCCGCCAGCGAGAGGACAAACACCACGGATGGACTGCACGTGTGCCTATGGCGCCCGCATAAATGCCACGTGTCCTGCGGGCTCTGTCCACCCACAGTCCCGTGCAGGAAACCAGTGTGGCTTCAGGGAACACAGCTTAGGGCCAGGCAGGAGGACAAGGATGAACCGGACTTGGGGGAGATGCACAGGAAGCGTCGGGGCTGTGCAGACACGGGAGCCAGCACAGGGCCTCCTGCCGGGCAATCTGGGACAAGTGGACATCCGATGAGCAGTGGCATGAGGAGGGTTCAGGGGTGTGCCCACAAATTCTCAAAGATCTTGCACACTGTGTGTGGGGGTGCAAATCACCCATGGGGTCAGAAAAAATGGGGTGTCCTGCCAGGGCCAGGTGGGTGAGTGTGACAGCTCTCTGTCTCTCTCCCTCTGCCTCTGTGTTGACATCTGTGTCTCAGCCTCCATCTCTCCCCACTGCCCTCTCCTGGATCATCTGCTCCAGGGGAAGCCGCACCAGGAGCAGCTCTGCGCAGAGGCCCGCCAGGTAGGGAACCGGGGTCTCAGCAGTGAGACCCCATCAAGTCTAAGCACGTAGCCCTACAGGAGGCCTGAGTCCCTCAAGCTGGGCTCCCCCCACCCTGACCCCTGACCTCAGAGGCTGTGCAGGCCAGAGTGTTTCAAGTGCTGCCTTTGGGGAGGATCAGTCAGGGCAGTGCAGCCTAGGGAAGAGAACAGCACCCTGAGACCGGAGAGAGGAAAGCCAACTGCATAGTTTGACAGGAACCAGGATAGCTGCATAGTTTCCTCCCCCGAGACAGGCATCAGCTCCAGCAGAGGGGGACAGCGCCTCGTGGAGAAGGCACAACTGCCCCCAGCCCCCTGAGTGAGCCTCCCCCACAGTGAGACAGACAGAAGCCTGACCCCGCGGGCAGGATGCGGCAGGAACGCGGCGCCTTCCTGAGATGCGGGGAAAGACGCACCGCCTAACTAAGCGTGCTCCGCCCCAAAAGGAACCCAAGGGGTGGGCACTGGGCACTGGGGTTAAGATACGCTTGGTTTGATCCCATCCCATAGGTCTGGGTTCAATTCCCACCTCCACTTCCGATGACAACTTCCTGCTCATGCACACCCCGGGATGCAGCAGGTGCTGATGGTGTGAGTCCCTGCATCCTTGCTGCCCACGCAAGAGACACAGTCTGAGTTCTAGCTCCTAGCTCCAGCCTGACCCAGCCTTGGCTATTGTGGACATCTGGGGACTGAACCAGAGGCTGAACCGGAGGCTGGAAACCTCTGTCTTTCTAATAAAACAAAAACCAAATACGCAAACCAAACCAGAAGGATGCCTGAGCCTCCTGAGGGGACACACGACCCTGTCCTGTGCCCTCGCTGTGATGGTGTCGCGGGGGATCTGAGTCACCTGAGACAGGCGGGTGGAGACACAGGGGTGGCACGTTCATGGCTGACCCCGGGTGCAGCTGTGCAGGGAGCTGTCCCGGTGTGTGGGAAACACACACGGAAATACTCGGCGCGCGGGGACCAGGCCAGCAACTCATTCCCGAGCGGTTCCCAGAAGCAGCTTCTTCATCGTTTCTCAGCAAGTTTGTGACTATTTCAAAAACAATTTCCATCACAAGACAATTGCCTTTGGCAGAATGAAGTTTCCTCACGGAAACGGCCCAGGCTGAGGTCTCCCTGAGCACCAGGGGCGGGAGCAGGCTGGGGGCGCGGCCCACACAAGCGGTCAGCGGAGGGTGGCTGGGGGCGGACACCGGCCAGTCAGCGCAGGCTTCCGCCCTGGGCTCCCGCCGGCTCCGCACCAGAGTGAGACTCGGGCTCCTGGAGGAGGGGCTGTGCTGGCCCCCAGTGTTGGGAAAGCGCTTCCTAGGGACCCTGAAGACCACACCCCAACCACAGGGCGCCTGGTGGGGAGATGGGGAACCGACAGGAGAGGCCCCCCCCACCAGGCCTGACGTGGGCTGCAGCAGGCAGTCCCCTCAGTGGGCAACACCCCGTTATGATACCTGGGGACAGGTGTGTGCAGGGAGTGGGCATCAGCCGAGACTGTCCCCCAGGCGCCAGGTGACCCGGGTCACACTGAGGCCACAGCGCCCCTCTGCCTGTCTCTGCCCAGGCACAGCCCACCTGAGACTAGAGGCTGCCAAAGCAAACAGCCCTCCCCCACCATGTCACTCTCCACGATGCCCACAGGCCATGTCCACTTCCCTCCCATGTCCCTCTGCACAGCCCCCAGACCTCCCTCCAAGGCATTTCTTCTATTTCTCCCAAACAGGGAAGCACGGAGCTCATGTGTTTTTTTGTTTGTTTGTTTTGTTTTGTTTTGTTTTGATAGGCAGAGTGGACAGTGAGAGAGAGAGACAGAGAGAAAGGCCTTCCTTTGCCGTTGGTTCACCCTCCAATGGCTGCCGCGGCCAGCATGTTGCAGCCGGCGCACTGCGCTGATCTGATGGCAGGAGCCAGGTACTTATCCTGGTCTCCCATGGGGTGCAGGGCCCAAGTACCTGGGCCATCCTCCACTGCACTCCCTGGCCACAGCAGAGAGCTGGCCTGGAAGAGGGGCAACCGGGACAGAATCCGGCTCCCCGACCGGGACTAGAACCCGGTGTGCCGGCGCCGCAGGTAGAGGATTAGCCTAGTGAGCCACGGCGCCAGCCTCATGTGGTTTTTAAGAGCAAGAGTGGCCTCAGACCGAGCTCCAGTCTCCATAGACTAGGGGGCAGAGGAGTGGCAGGCAGCAAGGCCCTGCCAGCCCAGGCACCTTGCTGTGAGGGCAGAACCTGGAGAGGCCCCGGGATCCCTTCAAAGAGGCTCAGCATCAACTCGAGGCCAGTGAGAGGCGGGGAGGGAGCAGAGGTGGCTGATGACGGGTTCTGTCACAGGGAACACAGCCCCCCTGGGAACGCACAGCCTTCAGCTCACCAAAGGCGGCCCCCGGCTGGGCCTGTTTCCTCAGCAGGTTGGGGATTTGTTCTGCTTCATGGTTGTTCCTTAACTGGACATGAACCACGTTGCTTCTGCATGGATGCCCTGGTACTCGGCTGTTACGTCACACGTGTGAGCTGATACCGGGACCTGGCCCAGGTGTACAGCAAGTGCCAGGGACAGGATATGGTGAAGCCTTTATCCCGTAGGAGGCGCTATCCAGATCCCACTTGTCTGGGATCCTTGGACAGCTCCTGGGATGTGCTGTCAGCAGCAGAATCCTTCGTACTAAGCCCTCACATCCCCTACCATGGTTCAGCCACTGTGCGGCACCTGCCTTCCAGACTCTGCTTGCTGGTGTCAGGCCCAGCCCAGCACCTAGCAGGTGCGACCACATTCCAGGGAGGAAGGAGAGCGCCTCACCCTACCTGCCTCTCCAGAGGCCATTCTGCCACATCCAATCTAGGACGTTCAATCACCTTGCCCACACTTCCTGCAAGGCAAAAGCCAATGTGGCCTGGTATTGCCGCAACCTCTCATGGGCCTGAGACCCCATGAGCCATGCCTCCCCATAGTCCAGCACCAGTGGCCAGCATGGTCCCCCCAGGAGGATGCTCTCAGCATACAGCTACCATCAAACAGCAGCACCCTCCCTGCCCATGGCTGCACGCCACCCACGTGACAGTGACTACTTGCAACAAACTGGAGGGCAATGGTGACTTCAACTGGTGAAGGCACGGGAGGGCTGGGCTGGTGACTCCCGGGATGCAGTCCTTCAGCCATCAGGGCAGCTGTGTCTGAAAACCTCCTCCTATGTAGCCCAAGGATTCCTGAGAATCCCAGAGGCCCGCTGTTCACTGCAGAGGCTTGACTAGGTCAGGGACAAGACCAACAGCAAGCCGGGCAGGGACCGGCTGGCCTGGGGGTGATGGTGCAGCCAGCTGGCAGTAGGAGCCCCATGGAGAAGCCGCCAGCCTGACAGTGAGACACGGCGCCCACCCCTATCCACAATGTGCCATCACAGCCGGGACACAACTCCTCCCCTCCAGACCCAGGGGCTCCAGCTCCGCCCTCAGATCCACGTCCCTGAGAAGGCCAGGAGGGGCCAGGAGCAGCAGAGTCCTCAGGGTGGGCACACACACACCTTCCCAGCATCCCCAGGCTTCAGTCTCCCCACCAGAACAGAGCCTGCGCAGAGCGGCCTCCCCGCCCCTGCTCCCTGCCCCCATCCAAGGCCTGGCTCCACTTCTCACTGGAAACGGCTCCCAGTCCTGGGACATCTGCAGGTGACACCTTCAGCAGGTGTGGCCACACTCAGTAACAAGCTTGTTTTACCGAAGAGCAAAGGGTGCACCTTGGTGGTCAGCGCTGGCGAGGCTGGCGGGTCTCCTGCAGCAAGCCACGGGCTGCTGCTGCTACTAGGCTCCCTAAAAATCAGTGGCCCATCACCCAGTCATCTCGAATGTACACTTCCCCACCCGCGACAGCGAAGGCCTCTCCGGACGCCCAGCCTTGTGGTTCTTTTTCCCTGGCTTTGTCCAGCCCACTGCAGGTCTCGCTGGTTCTCATCCAACAGGCTGACTTACTAAGTTTGCCCATCTCTGATCATTAACAATGTGGACGCCCGAGTCTGTCTTACACCATAGCCAGGTTGCCAGAATGGCCTCTTTCCAACTACACGCCAGCCACTGCCTCTCTGGGTCAGGTGTCCCCGGTCCAGCAAACAAGCCCCCACTGCATGCCCATTTAGCGACCTTCTAAATGGCAGCCCTACCCAGCAGAACACGCAGGCTACAGAGATCTTTCCACACGGCCCATCACAAGCGCCATAGCCTCAGCGGTATCGAGCCTTGACATGTGGCCAGTGAAACCAAGAAAGTGAGTTTTAAAGGTTCAGTAACTTAATCCTTAGTAGCCACACGTGGGCCGTGGGGTCCCACTTGGGAGTGGAAGCCTAGGGAACAGAGCCACAGTAACTGTGCCAGGCACTCAGGGCTCTCGGTATCCATCCCCCCACTTCCCACACCACAGGCGCCACACAAGTATCATTTCCTCATTACAGGTGGAAGAGCCCTGATCTGAAATGCTGGGGACCGGAAGTATTGCAGAGGTCAGGGTTTTTCACACTGGCACTGACTTTACCGGGGGAGTGTCCCTAAACGGAAAATCTGAGATCTGAAATGCTCTGGAGACAGTGCGGCCTCTCTTCTTTCACCTGAGCTACTGTTCCCTGCCAGCGACCACTGGCTCCACCTCCTGCCCTCCCACGCAGCCAGCGTAAGGCCCCGCCAATAACCCAGGCAGAAAGGGGTCTCTCCTGCTGCAGGTGCCCCAAGCTGCTCCTCACCCTTAGAGCCACACATGAAGGGGAAGAGCAAGGAGAGGAACAAGAGAGAAATGCATGCTCCTTCCTAGAAATCCAAACAAGCACAACCATGCCCCCCAAGCTAAAGGAGCCCCGGAGGCCCCAAACCCAGCCCCGGACCATAGCACCATCAACAAAAGAACCAGGTCAAGCCAAGCAGCGCTTTACTCTCATTGGGTTCCTCCCCGACCAATTTCTGAGCTGCCCCCAGACCTGCCCACGCAAGGTGCAGGTGGCGGCATGAGCCGCGCGGGTTACCATTTCCTGGGCCACCTCGTCGGGGGTCTCCTTCTCCAGGTCGAAGGTGAACTCTATGGCGCCATTGTCCTTGGGCTTGCCCTTCAGCTTCTTGGGGTCTTCCACCCACAGCCGCAGCGCGATGGTGGACTTCCGGCCGTGGTCCTCCTCGGCCAGCTCCACTCTCACGCCCGTGTCCTCCGCAAAGAAAGCGTGACTCAGCAGGTCCTTGATCTCATACCTACAAGGAGAGCGGTCATGCACAGGGCATGCCCGCAGGGCGCAGGCAGCCGGACGGCACCCTCCCGAGGTTGTTTGATTCCACTGCCTAGTGGCAGGCTATGCCCTGAGGGCGGCTCCCAGCACAGTGAACGCCATCCCTGAGATCGGCTCTTACTGCACCTTGTCTTGACTTCCTTCTCTTCCTTGTGAAGGATACAATGCATGCAAAAGCACCAGACTACCCACCGTGCAGGTTTGGCCCTGCGGTGTGTCAGTGAGCTGTCAACTCTCACCACAGGGAGACACCTGGTTCTGGGTGGGACTAACATGGAAACCCAGAGTCCCCAACCTGGTGCCGGGACACGGGTCTCAGTTTTCGGGGGGTGGGGGGTGTCTCTGCAGGATGAGGCAGAGAAGATGGGAGAAGGTATACTATAAAGCAGGGGTGGCGATCAAGGACCTGCAGAGCCTAGGGGGTACCAGCCCAAAGCCAGCTGGGAAGGCTGCTCACAGGAAGCCAGTGGCCAGGCACTGGATAATGCTAGCTCTGGGGACCACAAGGCTTTGCTACCCTAGTGCACCCCTAGCCCTCCTCTCTTAAGCATGCAGTCATGCAGCAAGTGTTGCTGTGGGCCTGGCTTCCTCCCATGTCCCGGCTGCCAGGTCATCTGTGTGGCTGTGACATAGGCCAACCACCCCCTTTTACTGCTGAGGGTGTGGTGTGGATGTGTAGATGTACCCCAGTCTGTTTGGGGAGAGAGAAATAGCACAGTTTTCTATGCCTGCTCTGAGGGTCTAGATGGCTTAGCCGTGGGGCCTGTTCCCCCTACACCCCCAGGCCATGCTGCTTGGAGATGCACAAAATACGGAACCTGGAGCTCAGGAGGGAGGATGGGGCTGAGGCAGATCCAAGAGCCCCTGTATGGAAGGTTTCCTAAGGCCATAGGAATAGGTAAGCCCCACCCTCACCTCCTGGGAAAACTGGAGAAAAATTAAAGGGCGAAAGGGAGTCCTAGGCCCTTAAACCCCCTGGCCAGACCTAGGCCCCAGAGAAGGCTGCCCACCCCAGCTTCCCAGCCTGGAGTTACTGTGGCCTGAGCACTCAGTCTGGCTCTGGAGTTTTCTCTTGTCAGGAGCGTGCTGCAAACACCAGCTGGAGAAAGACCAGGGCTGGCCGGCGCTGTGGCTCACTAAGCTAATCCTCCACCTGTGACGCCGGCACCCTGGGTTCTAGTCCCGGTTGGGGCGCCAGTTCTGTCCCTGTTGCTCCTCTTCCAGTCCAGCTCTCTGCTGTGGCCCGGGAAGGCAGTGGAGGATGGCCCAAGTGCTTGGGCCCTGCACCCGCATGGGAAACCAGTAGGAAGCTCCTGGCTTCGGATCGGCGCAGCGTGCCAGCAGCAGCACTGGCCATAGTGGCCACTTCGGGGGTGAACCAACGGAAAAAGGAAGACCTTTCTCTCTGTCTCTCTCTCTCTCTCACTAACTCTGCCTGTTAAAAAAAAAAAAAGACCCAGGGCCAGGACAGACACGGGGCAGCACTCCCACAGGAGTCCTGGCTGCTCCACTTCTGATCCAGCTCCCTGCTAAAGTTCCTGGGAAAGCAGCAGAAAATGGCCCAAGTGCTTGGGAGACCCAGACGGAGTGCCAGACTCCTGACTTCTGCCTGGCCCAGTCCCGGCTGTTGCAGCCACTTAGGGAGTGAAACAGTGGATGGAAGACCTCTCTGTCCATCACTCTGCCTTTCAAATAAATGAAGACATATTTTTTAAAAAAACAAAAAAGATCCAGGGCCCAACCCCACACAGAACTCACCTTTCCTCCTTGTTTTTGCAGATGCACTCTCCAATAATCTCCTTGATTTCGGGATCATGCACTTTCTCAAAGCTGGCTGGCTTGATGCCCTGAGAAGCAGAGGACAGAGTCATCTGACACAATCAGCAGCTCCAGGGCACCACCCCCACCACAGCACAGGGACCTCCTCCTCCACCACCACCATGATGACAGGACAAGCACAAACCACTAGGAAACCAGACCAAACACGCCAGACGGTCACGTTGTGATCCTGGATGTTGGCAGTGCAGGACATGGACAGAGACACATGGGGCCCACCCAGCTTGCTATCCAGGAACAGTTCCCAGGCTGGGACACAGGAACCCAGCTGAGTCTGTGGTCTATGAATTAAGGGTGAAGCTCAAGAGTTCAGGGAGACTGAAAAGGCTACAAAGCAGAGCTCTGGGAGGGAGTGAGGGAAGCAGCAAAAGGAGCCCCAGATACCTGCACAAGGTTCCCTCAAACCCCAGATCATGTGTGCATGGTCACATCCTAACAGCAGAGCCAGGCCCAGAGTTCACATAGAGCACTACAAAACGTGACACACACAATGTACAGCATCCAACCAAAAATTACCAGACACGAAGGTTCTCGTAAAGTTCATGGAAAATGTGTTATTTTGAAAATATGATGCATGGATTTCAAAACTCTTTGCATCAAAATAAACTCATTTTTAACTCCATTTTTCCATGAACATTTTGAAGTCCCCCTTGTATGCCAAGAAGCAGGAGCGTATGATCCATGACTTGGCAGAAAAACCAGTCAACAGAAATAGACTCAGAAATGAGCGAGACATTGCAGACAAGGATGTTAAAACTCACTGTAGCTCTATATATGCGTATTTAAAGAAAAATGAACAGGAACAGCAATGCCAGATATAAAAAAAGAACCACACGGAAACAGAGATGGAAACCACAGCTTCTGGACTGGAGGTTTCACTGCAGCATGTGAACGGCGGATGAAACGCTGCAGAGAAGATGGGTCAACCGTGGGACACGCAGCAGAGCGAGAAAGATGGTTGTGGAGGTTCTGTTCTGCTCGCTTCTGAACTTGAGATAAACCAACAGTCAAACATGCACATATCACACAGAGCAATGTGGCAGGGGGCTGGGAAGAGACACTTGAAGAAACACTGGCGGAGGCTGGGCCCTGTGCCCACAGATGCAGCACACTCAAGCCGCAGGCTCCACCAGGTGGACAGGGAGTAAGGCCGAAGCCATAGGGACCATCGGCCCCCTCCGATCTCCCCCTACCACCAAGGCCAGCAGCACGGTTCCCTGCCACTCAGCGTGGACACCTTCCCTCACCCACCAGCCAGGCCTCCAGCCCAGGCTCAGGCTCCCATCCTCATCTCCATAACGACCATCTCCCAGGCAACAACACCAGCGAGGTGTCACCTGAGCTGCAGAATTCGACAGTGGGGTTAACACCTCAAATATAGCAGTCAGCTTCTAGAAGGGTGTTGACCAGAGCTTGGCTGCAAAGCCTCCCTCATGGGACTGCAGGCACCTCTGTGCCAGAGGCTCATGGCCTTGGGGCTGCAGCCGGAGCCCAGTAATTACACGGTGGGTTCCGCGCCTCCCACAGCACAGGGCCTTCCTCACCACATGAAGGCTCTCTCCCCACACCCACCCCTTAAGGGGGTAAGGGTGCTGTTTGTGGTCACAGCTGCTGGCCCAGGACTAAGGCCAGGCAGCTTTCAGGGCAGGAAAGGGACAAGGCAGGTGCTAGACTGAAGGCAGCCACTCCTGGGCCCCAGAGTGCAGCCCCCCAGCTAGACCCCGCCCTCAGAAGCAGGGGTGGGCGAGGTTCCTCTGCAGTCTGCTGGGTTTGTTTAGTTTGGGGGTGGGAGGAGAATGGGGGCAGCATAACTAATTGCAAAAGTTCTAAGCACACTGAGGGCATCAATCATCATAAGATTCAACCTTGGAAAGCTTTACCTTGGCTTTTTTTTTTAAATATGGAAGACATAAAGCATGAATTTTCCCAAACAGGAAGAGAGAGGGAGGGAGGGGGATGGAAGCGCAACCACTGAGCAAGCTGCTGTGCCCCTGGCCCAGGGCAGACCTACAAGGAAGGAACCCCAGAAGCATCAGCCAGCCCAGACTCAGAGGCACATCCAGCCGCATGCCTGGGACACTGCTCCCAGCCCAGCTCCCAGATGAAAAGACCCCAGTCCATTGCCCATGGTGCAAACCAGGAACCCAGCTCCCCCTGGAGCTACAAGCCTGGCAAATGGTGTCCTAAGTCTCCCAAACCCCTCACTTCTGCACACTTCCCACTGCAGGCCCCTTTGCCTCTCTTGGGAAACTCAGCATCTGTGTGTGCAGGTCCCTGACAGAGGCCCAGGCCCCAGTCCAGGAGGGGCGTGGAGCTACCAGGCGACTGATGATCCAGAATTCAAAACCAAAGGATAGAAACACACGTCATCCACCAGAGGGGCTCAGGCTGGAGGCACAGACCAGGGGTGCTGCAAACACGCAAATCCGTGAGTGCCAGGGCATAGCAGGGCAGATGGGAATCGCACAGAGCACAGCTGCCCAGGCTGGGCATGCACCGGGCAGGGACAATGAGGACTCCTGGGATCACAGCTGCCTGCGGCCAAGGTCAGGGACCTCCCTGGGGGCGTCCCGGCCTGACCATGGGGCTCGGCACAGGAAAGCCCAGCCAGCTGCCCTGCCCGTGGATGCTCTGTTTGGCTCCCCCGCCCTGTGAGGCAGGTCTGTTTGTACAGCTGAAGTCATCTCATCAAATAAAAAACTCACAGTGCCAGCAAAATAGGGATTAAGGTTCCCGGGCTGCCCAATGCCAGCAGCCTCCTAGACACACACTCGGCCAAATTGGTGAAAAAGAAAACAAAGAGTGGTTCCAAAATAAAGCAGATGGGGGAAGCAGTGGCCCCGGGGCAGCCCGGAGCAGGGCTCTGGGGACAGGTGGCTGGGCACACCTCCTCCAGGAGAGCCCCCTGGAGTTCCCGCCCTCTCAGCCTCAGTTTCCCCTGTCCAGGAACTCGAAGTGCTGTGGGACAACTCCTAAGGCTAAGTCCTACCCACAGCAACCCGTAACCACCATCCCCATTGCTAGAAAACCATGAGCAACCGTCCCCCGAAGCCTCAGTTTCCCTATCTGTAAAACAGCCACTCTCTTCCCTTGCACAGCTACTGTGGGGTCTTTACGAGGACGTGGCCCATGCCCATGGCTGCGCCCTCATTAACAAGAGCCAGGGAACTCACACAGGTGACCTTTCGGTAGATCTGGGCGGCGTTCTGGCACTCTGAGTAGGGGTACTCCGAGGTGGCCATCTCCAGCATGCACATCCCGAAGGCATAGACGTCCACGGACTCGTCGTAGTGCTCCTCGTACATCTCGGGCGCCATGAACTCAGGGGTACCTGTGCCGGGAGCAGCAGACACAGGGCTCAGCACCCAGGAGCCTGACAGAACGGTGCACGCTCAGAACACCCAGTTCTTAGGCCTGCCCCATGCTCCCCGCCCTCTGTCTCAGAATCCAGGATCCAAGTTACAAACCTAATTCCTCCCTTTGTCCCTTCCCCCTCTCCCCCTTCCTTCCTTTTTAAGGCAGAGTTAGAGAGAGAAACAGGAAGAGTCAGGTATAGAGAGAGCTCTTCCATCTTCTGCTTCAAGTCCCAAATGGTAACAATGGCCAGGGCTGGGCCAGGCCAAAGCCAGGAACCTGGAATTCTATCCAGGTCTCCCATGTGGATCGCAGGGGCCCAAGCACTCAGGCTATCCTCTGCTGCTTTCCCAGGTGCATTAGCAGGGAGCTGGATCAGAAGTGCAGAAGCCAGGACTTGAACCAGCACTCATAAGGATGCCGGCATCACAGGCAGAGGTTCAACCTGCTGTGCCACAACACCCGCCCCCAGACCGGTAACTTCTCACGGCAGAAAAGTAATTGGCAAACATTGGGCCTGTCCCTGAGGACTCATTCGGAAACCTTATTCTTCATCTTCTCCCCTCATTCCCTCTGCAGATTTAATGAACACTTTCACAAAGAAATGTGTGCTGTAACACAAACATATTGGGAAAACACGGTTTAAGGCATTCTACAAGCTATTTATGTAAAAAAATCAACAGAAGTTGATCATGACTATTAAACAAAAATAGCATGTTCCAGACTGAAATCTCCAAAAAAAATCTCCTGGAAGCTCAGGATTCTGAGGCTAGCCAGCAGCTCACAGCACTACTCCCTGACCACAAAGGTGGAGACCCTGACTTCCAGGGAATACTGCCTGTATCCGATGCACACTCCTGACCTGCGTGGCCCTAAGGCAGGGCTGGGGATCCTTTTTTCTGTCAAGGCCGTTGGTATATTTGCAACATCATTGGCAGGCCATACAAAATTACCAACTTAAAAATCTGCTTGCTTAGGGCCAGCATTGTGACACAGCAGGTTAAGCTGCCACCTGCTACGCGAGCATCCTATATGGGTGGGGGCCAATTCAAGTCAATTCAGTAGCCATCCCAGAGCTGCTTATAACTCCAAACACCCACAGAGGCCTTGACCGTCCTGCTCTGCTCCCTGCTAATGTGCCTGGGAAAGCAGAAGATGGCCCAAATCCTGAACCCCTGCGTGGGAAACCTAGATGGAGTTTCAGGCTTTGGCCTGGCCCAGCCCTAGTGGTTGTGGCCATCTGGGGAGTGAACCAGCAGATGGAAGACTTCTCTGTGTCTCTCCCTCCTTCTCTGTAACTCTGCTTTTCAAATTTGAAAGGCAGAGTTACAGAGGTAGAGGCAAAGAGATAGAGAAAGAGGTCTTCCATCCGCTGATTCACTCTCCAAATGGCTGCAACGGCTGGAGCTGGGCCAAACCGAAGCCAGGAGCCAGGAGCTTCTTCCAGATCTCCCACGTGGGTACAGGGGCCCAAGCTCTTGGGCCATCTTCTGCTGCTTTCCCACCCAGGCCACAGCAGAGAGCTGGATTGGAAGTGGTGCAGCCAGGACTCGAAACGACACCCATGTGGTCTGCCGGCACTGCAGGCAGCAGTCCTATCCACTATGCCACAGCGCCGGCCCCAAATCTTTAAAAAAAAAAAAAATATATATATATATATATATATATATAGCCTGCTATAGATTTATTGAAATTTGAGTCTTGCTTGTGGTTGCCATGGCAGGGCCAGAGCAAATGATTTCGTGGGACCTTATACAGCCTGTGGGCAGGGTGTTCCCCACCCCTGGCGGACAGGCCCAGCATCAGGCAGCGCTTGGTCACCATGAGGCAGGCAAAACTCAGCAGCCATGCCAGAGCTGCTTCTAACTCCAAACACCCACAGAGGCCTTGACCGTCCCCAGACAGGGGATGCTTAGGCATGCCAGGCACACCCCTCGGGGAACAATCACCACCACCAAAGACAGGCAGGGAGCCAGCAAAGGGCGTCCACGTGTCAGGTCCCATAGAGGGTTTAGGATGGGAACTAGGCCGGCGCCGCGGCTCAATAGGCTAATCTTCCGCCTGCGGTGCCAGCACACCGGGTTCTAGTCCCGGTCGGGGCGCCGGATTCTGTCCCGGTTGCCCCTCTTCCAGGCCAGCTCTCTGCTGTGGCCCGGGAGTGCAGTGGAGGATGGCCCAAGTGCTTGGGCCCTGCACCCCATGGGAGACCAGGATAAGTACCTGGCTCCTGCCTTTGGATCAGCGCAGTGCGCCAGCTGCAGCGTGCCAGCCGCAGCAGCCATTGGAGGGTGAACCAACGGCAAAGGAAGACCGTTCTCTCGGTTTGTCTGTCTCACTGTCCACTCTGCCCGTCAAAAATAAATAAATAAATAAATAGGATGGGAACTGCTCACATCCTAGAAACACAAGGGGTGAAAACTGACATCTGCATGAAGTCGGACTTGGCCTTGGTGCAATCCACACAGTACAGGGTGGCAGGTGCTCACCGCGTCCGAGACAATGCCGTCTGGGAGGTGGCTGGGCTGTTCTCCTTTAGCTACGTCAGTCTGCAGCTTTCAGCTTCTCTACAGTGAGCTTTCGCTTGAATAGTAATTGCAAAGACCTTTTCATTGAAAAAGGTCCTGTGTGTCTGCAGAGCTGAGCGCCGAGAAAAGGGACCAGCGATTTCAACGGGGCTGCTTTTACCATCTGTGTGTTTGTTGACTGGAAGACTGTCAACATGTTTTATTTTTTACAGCAGATGCAAAATAGCACAAAGCAATCACTGGATTACAAAGCACATGCTGGGCTTTCATTTACCCATCGCTTCAATTTAAAAGTTGTGTGTTTAACCAAAAAAGTTAACATTTTGGGTAAAAATGGGGGAAAACCAGACTGCGTTTAGGTTCACGCACAAGCCTGCAGAACTCTGGAAGAATCCATCAGAAATAACGGGACTGGGCAGAGTTGGGGAACCTTGCACTGGGAATGTTTACCCTTTCAGGCCTTTGAGGAACACGATTACATGGAAAGTTTTTGCACTGGTAACTTTTAAATTTCTCAAGTTTCTCTCCCCCCCCTCGCCCCTCCTCGCCCTGAGTTTGCCACAGAATAGGGAAGGCACTGCCCAGGCCCTGCTGGATGCAAATGGCAGAAAGACCACATGTAGCCTAAGCCCGCTGGGTTGCTGGTGAGGTGAACACCAGCCCTGCCCCTCTGTCACCCCAGGTTCCCCCAGACACCACCCTGAGGGGCTCCCCGGCGCTGCACAGGCCTGAACCATCACAGCCACTCAGAAGGGTCCCCAGGGTCCCTCACACACCTGCTTGCACCCCCTAGGTCTCTGCACACCTCCCCAGCCCAGACCCACTCATCCGGCACTGGGAGCCTGCCTCGTGCCACCCCCTCCACAAGCCCCCCCCTGCAAGGGCAGACAAAGGTCTGCAGGAACAGCCTCTCTTCTGCTAAGCCAGGAAGGTGGCTGCAGCCCAGCCTCTCGCAGCTAAGAGGCCCTGTCTGTTTCTGGGTCTGTAATGAAACACAAACTTCCTTTGAGGAAGTCAAAGACACCCTAGCCATAACTATGCTCAAGAATTGTGTTAGAGCGAAACCAACAGAGGGGGCTCATCCATCCTCTCCCTCAGCAGGCAGAGCCCACATCCCAGTCTTCTCCCGGGAGGATGGGAAGGGGGCCACGCCTGCTGGGGACCCCACACTGGCTGGAGCCCCTCAGTGTTCATCAGCAACGACCCCTCTCCCACCGTCCGTCCGGAATGCCCAGCCTACCCAGAGCCAGCCGGCAGCTCTCCCCAGAGGAACCACCCTCAGTTCCCGTGGCCCACTTTCTCAGCTCTCTCCCCAGCAGGCCCATCTCCATCACTGCCGCCTCTCAGAAGCCCTCCTAGGTGGGTAGGGCACCTCCACACCCACAGGGTCCGGCTTCCTGCACAGCCGCCTGCCCCAGCCATCAGCAGTCTGGTGACAGGACCTGGTCCCCTCAGAGCCCAGCTCAGGCCCAGACCAGCACACACAAACCAGCAACACACACCCAGGAAGGTTTGAAACCCAGGGCACCAAACCCCATGGGCAATATATGGCTCACACCTGTGCCAACACCTGGCATCAGGTGAGGCCGAGGGGAAATGGCCACAGCCTGATGCTCTAAGCACAGGGATCATCTCCCTCCGGAGGGTCCACAGCAGCCGGGGGAGGCCGGTACCAAGCCCTGTCCTGATATGGGCCATGTCTGAAGTGCAAGCCCGAGGCCTGCAACGGAACCCTGGCATCAACTGCCCCCAGGGGCCCCCAGACACCTGTGTCAGGGAGGACAGGGGGGCTGGTGGGCTGAGGCTGTGTCTCAGATGGAACTCTGGGCCCAGGAGGACTTAGGGCAAGCACCCACAGGTAACCTGAGCCAACACTGCCCACAAGAGTGTCCCCCAACCCACTGCAGCCCAGCATCAGGAGACTTGAACTAACAAAGCCCTGCCCTTGAGAAGGGGCAGCCAAGGCCGCTCCTGGTCCAGGCTTCTCCAAGAGGAACTTTCTGGGCCCTGGCACCGATGGTGGGGCAGGGCCCTGCTGTGCCTGCTGGAAACACATACTCCCCGCCCCACATGTCAGCCCCCCTCTGCAGTGTGAAACTCTGGCTGGGAAGTCCAGGGACCTGAGTATTGCCATTTGAGGCAAGTGGCCCCGAGCGGCCCTCTCAGCCACGTCACTGAGCCCAAAACCGCCCAGAGCCTGGAGCCCTGCTCTTGGTCCCTGCAGGACTGAGCACTTCCCCTCCCCTGCCCCTCGCATTTCGCTGTTAGGAAAACTGAGGCCTGGGGCAGCCCCTGGGCACCACCACTCGGCTTCCCACAGGGCTGCCAGACCCCTTCTGGGGCAGCCACCCTGCCTCAGAGGTCACATTCCAAACCCACCACTGCTAGCAAAGCACTTCTCAGGCCTTCACTTCCTCCAAACACACGGCAAAACCATGCAAACCCCAAGCCCCAGGACCAACTGCCCCCACTCCTGCCTCTGGGGAGCCACCCTCATCACGGGGGCATGTGGGGCTTCAGTCTCCAGGTCCCACTAGATCCCACCTGGGCCTCCCCAGCTACACTGGGCCCCTGGCCCTGCACCTGCAGGCACCATCCAGGCATCTCAACCCCAACAAGCAGCTGCTCCGTAAGCCCCCCAAACTCTCTCTTCTTCACAGTTCGTGAGGACCCCCCCTTGGGGTCTGGGGGACAGTGAGCACCCCACACACCAGGACCACATTGGGGCAGGTGCACAGCAAGATGCAGCCTCCCCCCACCCCGGCCCCTCACAGCAGCCTCGGGCCAGCTGTCCCCCCAAGGCCCAAGGTGTCTCCTCTCAAAAGGCTGAGGATTGAGGATGAGAAAGAGAGGTCAACAACATCTCTAACAAACTAAATCCCTTCGGCTGGCACTGCGGCTCACTAGGCTAATCCTCCGCCTTGCAGCGCTGGCACACCGGGTTCTAGTCCCGGTCGGGGAGCTGGATTCTGTCCCGGTTGCCCCTCTTCCAGGCCAGCTCTCTGCTGTGGCCAGGGAGTGCAGTGGAGGATGGCCCAAGTGCTTGGGCCCTGCACCCCATGGGAGACCAGGAAAAGCACCTGGCTCCTGCCAAGGGATCAGCGCGGTGCACCGGCCGCAGCGTGCTGGCCGCGGCGGCCATTGGAGGGTGAACCAACGGCAAAGGAAGACCTTTCTCTCTGTCTCTCTCTCTCACTGTCCACTCTGTCAAAAACAAACAAACAAAAAAAAACAACTAAATCCCTCTGCACTACTCCCTGCCCCTCACAGAACACCCATGTGCCCTCCCCCAGGTACTCCAAGTGGTCACTTCTTGGGCCCCACAGCCTGGAACCCTCGCTGCCCACTTAGACCAGCTGCCATATCACTTGCCTCAAAGTTCCCCAATTCCTCTGTGGCCAGGGCCTCCTTCCCTGCCTTCCCCGCTGTGGCACCTCCCTTGGCCGAGCCACCAGCGGCTAGAAGAGTGGCTCATACGCCCGGCCCGAGCCCCTGGCCCCAGGCACTCTGCCCACTAGGCCTCCTGCCCCAGATTTGCCCGGCCCCCAGATTCAGCTCAGCGCCCCCAGGAGCCTCGTGGCCCAGGCAGGAGAAGCAGGCCCACCTATGACGCTTTTGGCGAACGACGCTCTCTTGAGGGTGGCCAGGCCCAAGTCGCCGATCTTCACAGAGCCGGTGGGCCCGGTGATGAAGATGTTGTCACACTTCAGGTCCCGGTGGATGATGGGCGGCGTCCGCGTGTGCAGGAACAGCAGGCCCTTCAGGATCTGCCGGCACCAGCTGCGCAGCACCTTGGGCTTCATCACCTTGAACCGCTTCAGGTACCTGCTCGGGGGGGAGGGGGGGGCACGGCTCGAGGAGCAGCTCCCTGGAAAGACTCCGCCCATGCATGCCCAGGGCCTGCTTGAAACATCCATGATAGGGAAGGTGACCAGGAGAGCTGGGCAGGCCTGCCTTGGCTGGGGGTCACACAGCGGAGGCCAGGCCCACAAGCAGGTGACCAGGTTGGGTGGCCGGCCCACCTGTTGCTCCTGCAATACCAGGGACCTTGCTACTAAAGCTCAGGGACCTCGTTACTAAAGCTCAGGCCAACCCAGACCCCAAACCTGTCTCCAAACAGCCAGGAGCCACGGCAGCAGGGCAGAATCCCACCCAGGAATGCCTCGGGGGAGAGGGGAGGGGCGGGAAGCTCATGGCCAATGGGACAACCGGGGTCAGAGGTCAGGAAGGCCAGGCCCTCCCGAACACTGCTCACCTGTGTGACCTGCTCTGAGCTGTCCCCAGAGACAGGCAGCAGGTGAGGCTGGGAATGGGGCTCTCCCCATGCTGTGCGGCCACTTAGGAGTAAAACTGCCCAGTAACAGGCGGACATTGAAGCCCTGCCCGAGGCTACAGGGTCTGAACGATGCAGGGGGACCTGAGTTATAGCCACCCAGTGGGGCAGACCATGTCGACTGCCCAAGGGCACACCATGGCCCCCTGTTCTCCTCCGCTGTGCTCAACTCAACCTGACCAGCCTGCTCCAGACCCTGCACATCCACGAACTGTGTCCCTGGGAGAGAAACCACCTCCTGATGCCCCACACGGGAAGGGACGGCCTCCTGACCACGTCTGAGAGATGGGCACATCCACCATCCGACACGCAAGAGTGCCAGATGCTGGCAGAGCAGCCAGTCGCTTTGCTGTGGATCCTTTGACTTGGCTTCCTATTCCCGGGGGTATGTAGATGCATCACCCAAAAGGTACACTTCCACGAGGCGATGGCCCAGGACCTTGGGCAGCCCCAGCCGTGGCATCCCCCCGGCCACCACCACCCCGGCTGGCAGGCAGCGGCGCTTACGTCTTCAGCGTTCCCGAGGTCATCAGCTCGGTCACCAGCACGATGCACCGCTTGCCCTTGGCACTGGACTCCCAGAAGTCGTAGAAGCGCACGATGTTGGGGTGCTGCAGGCCTTTCAGCATCTCTGCCTCCTCCTTGAAGCGCTGCCGCTCCAGCTTGGTGAGCTTCCGGTCCTGCAGTGGGGGACACGCACCGAGTGGGCGGCGCTCACAGGACCAGGCCCGCCGGCCGCTCTCCTGCCCAACAGAGGCAGAGAACTGGGGCACAGCAGGGAACGGGGACGGTTCACCCCAGGCCGCAGAGGCAGCGGCACCAGCCCTCCCTCTCTGCACACAGGCACCAACCAAAGGCAGGGACACAGAGGTCCCCAAACCCCCTGCCAGCACAGGAGCGCTCACAGGCCCCCACAGGGACACTCAGCCCCCGGCACCACCACATCGGACCCCGCAACCCCGGATGCAGCCCCTGTGTGGGGGCCTCGGGAACCGAAGTTCTAGGCAGCCGGAGAGCCCCCAGCCCACCCCGGAGGCCTGGCGCCCCCAGCCGGCGACCGCTCTGAACATCTGCAGCAGGGCTGCACGTGGCTCCCATGCCACAGAGGCGCGCGTGCTTGGCTGAGGAGGGGCTGGGAGTTGGAGGTGGGGGCACCCCACGAAGAGTGTGACGGGGAGCTGGGCTCAGCACAAACACAACCGTGGCACGTCACACGCACCCTCTAAGATAACGAACGCAGCAGTCTTAATATTTGTTTCCTAAAGTGATTTTTGTGAACAGCCTGATGCGGAGACCTTTCTTTCTCGAAATAAATCGTGCTAAACCGCGGTGGGGAAAATGAGGAACGCATTTGTTCCAATGCACGCACGACTCAGGGGAAGCGCTCAGAACACAACAGATCAGGTCAGTCGGACCCTGACAAGCGCCAGAGGCCAGACCTGAGAGCAGAAAATTAAGAACCCTGACAGAGCCCACCCTGCAGGGCCAGCAGCTGTGGCCGTGTCCGGTGCAGGAGGACACAGCCGTGGGGTCAGTATGCATGGCCACGCCAGCAGAACTGAACCACTGGCCTTGAATTTAAAACAAGGCACAATACACAAGCACCACCATCACCACCCTGGAGACCTCATGTGGTCCATGAGGTCGGACATGCCCCATTCACCTGCTTCGCCCAGGACACCACTGCCGGTGGGTACCACGTCCACCCAAGCTCACACAGCCGGCATTACACCACCCCCGACTCGTTCTCCCTGCAGCCCACCCAGACCTTGGCCCTGCCCTTCCCAAATCCTCCAGTGGACCCTTCCCAAAGAGCCAGCATGGCCCAACGCTCTGTGACTTCCCAGCTTCCCAGATGAAGCGAGGGCTGTGGCCCCGTGTGCCCCCGCCCCTCGCTGACACACACCTCCCCCCTGAGCAGAGCCCAGGGTCACCTCTGAGGCCCGGGTCTATAGCTCACAGGGCAAAGTCTGCCTCTCCCCCCCCAGCAGTCATGGGAATGTCAGAAACAAGATGTGTGTGTTTCCAGAAGAGAACTATAAACACCACTGAAGACGGAAGGGTGAAATGCTCAAGAAGTCCAGGAGACAGAAAACAGGTGCACCCAGACGGATGGCAGGAGAGACAGGAACTGACAGGAAACGGAAGCCAAGGCCCCAAGGCCCTTTCGGAAGGCCCCACAGAACAGGAAATGGAAGCCAAGGCCCCAAGGCCCTTTCGGAAGGCCCCACAGAACAGCAAGCCAGACTCCAACCTAGAGATGAGGTGTGGGCCATGGGATCATGAGGAAGGTCGTCTTGCTAAGGAATGACCCCCAATGGTGGCCGCACTCACAGCTCCTCCTCCAGCACCCCCGCCAGACCCTCCCCCCAGCCCAGACCTGCCCAGGCCTCCATTCCTGAGTGGGGCAGGACAGCCACCATCACCCACAGAGCCAAGAGAAGCCATGGGCACGGTCAAACCCAGGGAAAGCAGTAAACCAGGGACGAGGAAAAACACCCACTGAACGTTCTCATAAAAGGGGTAGGGGGTTGGCAGTGGTGGCGACTCGGCTCGTGATGCCCACATCCCGTTTCAGAGGGCCCGGTGCAAGCCCCAGCTCTGCTTCCAACTCAGCTTCCTGCTAATGCACATCATAAGCGGCTCAGGCACCTGGGTCCCTGCCACTGATGTGGGCGGATCAGATGGAGTTCCTATCTCCTGGCCCAGCCCTGGCTGTCGTGGGCACCTGGGGAGTGCACCCCATCAGTCTTTGTGTCTACTTCTCCAATAAAATGCAAATAAATAAAATGTATAACATTTAATGCTCCTATGAAGACCCCAGTGCCCAGCACAAATAAGGGCAAGCATTAAGGAGGAACAGTCAGCAAAGAACTCTGACACGCTAATGGCTGAAGTCGCCTTCCTAGCATAGATATTTTAAAGGGAGATGGTCTATAACCTAATAACACATTAAGTACAAAAAGTTAGTAAAATGGGAACATGTTCTGCTCGTCAAAACCAGTTATTTTTAAAGACCTATTTATTTATTTGAAAGTCAGGAAGAGAGACAGCAGAGGAGATAGACCAACTGACAGAGAGCGAGCTTCCATCTGCTGGTTCACTTCCCAAATGGCGGCAACAGCCAGGTCTTGGCCAGGTGGAACCCAAGAGCCCAGAACTCCATCTGGGTGACAGGGGCCCAAGGACTTGGGCCATCCTCTGTTGCTTTCCTAGGCTCGTTAGCAGGGAGCTGGATCAGAAGTGGAGCAGTCGGGAACCAAACCAGTGCTCTGATACGGGATGCCGGCATCACGGGCAGCAGCTTCACCCACTGCACCAGGACAGAAACTCTTCAAAACTGCCTATTTATTGAAGAAAATGAAAATTGAGCCAAGTGAGAGAAACTCATCTTAGTATGTGAGTCTGACAAAGGACTCAGACCCAGAGCATACGAAGAACTTCTGTAACGCAGAGAAACAAACAGACCGTGCACCGAAGATGACAGCAACAGCCCAGCAGCACATGAAAAGATGCTCAGAACTTCAGTCATCAGGAAAATGCCACTTAACACCACATCAAGACACCACTGCCCACTGTCCAGACAAGCTACACTGAAGAGACTGACAGTTCCAACCGCTGGGAGCCGGAAGCACCTGCCCACAATGCCCCCACCCCGTCCCTCATGCCCCTCCCCCCAGTCACTGAGTGTGAGGTGAGACAGCCCTCGAAGTCCTGGGCAGGTCCGCACCTGTTCTATGTCCCACCATTCCCTCCTAGCCCTGGGCAGGTCTGCACCTGCTCTATGGCCCACCATTCCCTCCTAGCCCCGGGCAGGTCCGCACCTGTTCTATGTCCCACCATTCCCTCCTAGCCCTGGGCAGGTCTGCACCTGCTCTATGGCCCACCATTCCCTCCTAGCCCCGGGCAGGTCCGCACCTGCTCTATGTCCCACCATTCCCTCCTAGCCCCGGGCAGGTCCGCACCTGCTCTATGGCCCACCATTCCCTCCTAGCCCCGGACAGGTCCGCACCTGCTCTATGTCCCACCATTCCCTCCTAGCCCCGGGCAGGTCCGCACCTGCTCTATGGCCCACCATTCCCTCCTAGCCCCGGGCAGGTCCGCACCTGCTCTATGGCCCACCATTCCCTCCTAAGCCCCGGGCAGGTCTGCACCTGCTCTATGGCCCATCACTCCCCTCCTGGAGATCCACAAATGACAGGCACATGGGAGTTCTAGCAGCCCCCCATCACAGAAACACCCATGGCCACATCCACCCAAATGGACCGTGACTGAGAAATAAAAGGGAACAAACACCTGGGGCAGGCATCCAGCCTGACAGGACACCAGCTAAGGTCCCCGTGTCCCACCTCGGAGTGCCTGGGTTGGAGTCCTGGAGCCCGATGCCAGCTTCTTCCTACAGCAGACCTGGAGAGACAGCTGATGTCACCTCAAGCCCCTGGGTCCCTGCCACCCACGTGAGGGACCTGGATTGAGATCCTGGCGCAGTCCCAGCTGTTACAAGTATCTGGTCAGTGAACCAGCAAAATGAGAATGCTGTCTCTCAAATAGATAAATAAAAATTTTTTTCTTTAAAAAATTTATTTATTTGAAAGTCAGAGTTACACAGAGAGAGGAAAGGCAGAGAGAGAGAGAGAGAGAGAGAGAGAGTCAGAGTCTTCCATCTGCTGGTTCACTCCCCAGATGGCCATGACGGCCAGAGCTGCACCAATCCAGAGCCAGGAGCCAGGAGCCAGGAGCCTCTTCCAGGTCTCCCACATGGGTGCAGGGGACCAAGGACTTAGGCCATCTTCTATTGCTTTCCCAGGCCATAGCAGAGAGCTGGATCAGAAGTAAAGCAGCCGGGACCCGAACTGCCAGCACTGCAGGTGGCGGCTTCACCCGCTACGCCACAGTGCTGGCCCCAATAAAAATTGTTTTAAAAAATGAGTAATAAAATAAAAAGAAACAAAATCCTGATTCTCACAACACCCTGGGAGAATTCCAGAACCATCAAGCTGAATGAAAGAAGCCAGACCCCGAGCTGTCGGAGCTTCTTCCTGCCCGGTCCTTGTTCTGGCACTTTCCCTAAGCATGGCCCCCAGACACCCACCCTCACTCCTGCCTCAAACAAAGAAGACTGGAGCAGCTCAGCCCCAAGGCCGGCACACATATGGGCCTCTCTTGGGCTTTGTTCAAAGGAGAAAAAGAACAAAGAGAAGCAATCGAACATATTGGTGAATTGCAGACGGGCGCAATGAACAAGTCAGCAAGGAGACTCTGAGAGCAGAAATACGACAAACTCCGCCAACCCTCTACCCAGCAGAGGTCAGGATGGATGGCCCAGATCCCAGATCTGGGGGGAACATTTGTCAACCAGGCTGAGGCGGCGCTGCATCGTCTGACCAGAGTTCAAGTGGCAGAATCTGAAGATACCAAAGCAGGTTACGGAACAGATCTGCATTTTGATGAGGATCCTTACTTCAAAAATAAAGCTCTCTGCAAAGAATTTCATCTGCATGACAGCGGCGATGCATCGTCAGAGTCCCCTGATATCAAAGGGAGGTCTGGAAAGGATCTGGGGGCACGCTCAAGGCCAACGCTGGGGTGCGCCAGCCAAGCAGGGGCCGACAGGAACAGGTGCACCTCTGCACCCGCTCTCCTGTCCACTCATTCTCAGGCAGGTGCAGCTGAGGGAGGA